CAGTGCATGACCTGCATAACCTTTGAGGGTGAGTTCCACTACTCAGAAGTTATTTGACAAAAATCACTTGTATCTTATCTGCTTTCTACAAACTAGCACCTTAGTTCTCAGACTCACAAAATGTTTGAGCCCTGATGCTTAGAGGGAGTGAAAAGTCAAACAAAGTGACCCTCCCTTAGGGAGTCACATGATTGCTTGGGGGCTTGTCACAGTGGAACAATAAAGGCCTCGAAGTCTCCTCACTGCCTCTCTTCCAAGTTTTGTATAGTTTTCTTAATAAAGTCAGGTGCTCATAGGCTGGCCAATGGAAGGATTAACCTTCCAACATGTGTCAGGATTACGTCTGAGTAAAGAATTTCATATCTTAGGCTGATGGTAAGAAAGTGAAGAGCCAGAAAAAGGGTGTGACTTAGTCAAAGTTACTCAGTCGTGCCTGGGAGAGGAGCAGAGACCAGAACCCACTCTCCCCAACCTCCATCCCGGGTTCCCTGGATGGTTTCCCTGGCCCTGCACCAGGTGGGGGCTAAGTGGGTTACCCACTATGAGCAGGACCTGCTCAGCATCCTGGTGGGGCTCAGGTGGACAGACTCACTCCAGCTGGAGCTGACTGACATTGCAGAGTCTTGTGGAGATGTACCATGTCTTGGAATTATCTGTGCTCAAGCAAGAGAGAGCTGAGCCCCTGGAGCTGCCTGAAACTTCCAGCCCCCTCAATTGCTGATTCTGAGGAGAGACACCCAGGCAGCCCAGAGTTGGAGGAACAAACAGCAGCAAAGAAGCAGCAGATGGGTTTCCACGGTGATCATCGCCTGCAGTCCTAGCAGTCCTAGTGCCTTCTTTCTTCCTGAACGGAGGTGGAGGTGCAGCAAGAACAGGGACACGGGGGCGGGAAACCCAAGTCCTGATCTACCCCACGTGGGGAACCACCCCGCCAAGCAGTGCTCCAGTCCCTTCCTCTCTGAAGTCTAGAGTCATTCCTTCCGAAGATTCCAGGCGCAGCCTGAAGAGGAAGGAAAGCCCAAGCTTAGATGAAACACGGTGTTCTTAGCTCCCATTTTTCTGCCTGCAGGAAGTACCTCCATGCCTAGGCAGCCCCCGGGCAGCTGTGACACCACCACAGCTATGACACAAACACTCAGTGCACCTCCTTGTCCTCAAATCCACATAAAGGCTTGTTTGAACCCTGCCCTGCAAGAAACAATTTTCTACCTCCTCCAGGGAGTCTCCTACACTGAACCAAAGGCCAGGCCTTTTCCTCCTCCTCCTCTTCACTGCTGTCCTCTCCTTCCTGCCCTGGCTTATTCTCATCTCCCCAAAGTGTTGGCTTCTCTCGCATTGATAAGAACCCAGGTATAGGATGGGAAGTCCTGGTGGCATTGATGAGCACTAGAGAGAGGGATGGAGGCCCCGGTGCCCTTGACCGATCCCCTTGATCTATTTTTAAGATGAGCCCTTCTCTTCCTCCATCCAAGCCCCGGGGCAACCATGTGAATCTCAGTATAGGCAAGCTCCAATGCCAGCTAGTCGCAGAGCCTCCCCTTAAGGGGTGAAGGTAGGAGAAGGCTTGTGTGTGTGCCGTGGATGTGAGCCAACCAGGTGCCCAGGGCTCACCAGCTGGCCTTGGCCTCCAAGCTATCCTGATTTTGTCTGTCTATTCACTCTTCAACTCATTCAACAGGCGTTGGTCGGATAGTGGTTATATCAGTGATGCGGATGGGAAGGATGAATGCGACCCAGTTGCTACCTCAGAACCGGACTCCTAATCTTCTTCCCTAGAACTGCTCTCCGTCAGCCTAGTCAATGTCAGTTGGTGACAGTTCCACTCTGCCTGTGGCTCAGAACAAATTTCACATCCAATCCAGCAAACCTGTTTTTGTCCTGACTCACAATATATCCAAAATTCAACTCTTTCTCACTGCTTCCACCCCTACTTCCCTGGTCTATGCCACCGCCATGGCTCACCTACATTATAACCTGGCCCCTCAGGGCTCCCTGCTGCTGTCCCTGATCCTACAGCTGGCCTCTTCCTGGAGTCTGAGTGGCACTGTGAAAACAAGGTCAGAGTGTGCCCTTCATGTGGTAGGCACACTCCTGCCCCAGAACCTGTGCTCTGGCTGTTCCCCCTGCTCAGAATGATCTTCCCTAGAAACACAGTCCACTCACTCTCTTGCCTTACCTCCTCCATCTACTCAGTGAAGGCTTTTTGGTGAGGCCTGCCCTAATCCCAGCTAACATCACAGTTGTTGCCAAATAGTACCTGAGGTCGTTATTCATTTTGCTTCTTGCCTATTTTCCCTCCCTGGAAGTAAGCTCCAGGAGAGCAAGATTTTGTCTGCTTTGTGCACTGTCCTGAGGACCTACCTGGCCCACAGTAGAGGCTCATTCAGTAGCTGTGGAATGAGTGAGTGACTTGTGGGGTGACAGTCCAGTAAAAAAAAAAAAAAGCTGACCCTGCCTCCACTCTTGCCATTTCCTGTCTGTTCCCACACAGTCACAGTAATTTTTCTATTTTTTTTTTTTTGAGTCAGAGTCTCACTCTGTCACCCAAGCTGAAGTACAGTGGCACCCTCATGGCCACCACAGCCTCGACCTGCTGGGCTCAAGTGATCCTTCCACCTCAACCTTCCAAGTAGCTGGAACCACAGGCATGCGCCACCACACCCAGCTAATTTTTTGATTTATTGTCTCACCAAGTTGCCCAGGCAGGTCTCGAATCCCTGAGCTCAGGCAATCTCTTGCCTCTGCCTCCCAAAGTGCTGGGATTACAGGCATGAGCAACCATGCCCAACCCACAGTAACTTTTCTAAAAAACACATGGCTGTCCTTTGGATCTTAGGGGAAGTATCACTTCCTTGGAAGTCTTCCCAAACCCCCTGGGCAAGGCAGTCCCTCTATTTACTCCATAGTCCCCTCTGTGGTTAAAGGAATGGACTTCCTGCATCCAAATCCTGGCTAAGCTGTGGGCATTTAGGCAAGGGACGTAAGCTCCCTTGGCCTCAGTTTTCTCATCTGTGAAATGTGGAAAATCATAGTATCCCCCCATAAGGCTGAGAAGGCAGGCTTGGCACATAGAAAGTGTGATCTCGCCTTGGGAGGCTGAGGTGAGTGGATTGCCTGAGCCCACGGGTTCGAGACCCGCCTGGGCAACTTGGCGAGACCTCATCTCTACAATAAATCAAAAATGAGCCAGGCGTGGTAGTGCGCG